AAAAAAATAAATAAATAAAAAAATAAAAAATAAAAAAATGAAAATTTCCACATGCTTGAACATTGTTTAAAGGCTTAAAATATTTTTGTATTTTTTGTTTGGTTTTAAGGTAATCCAAAAGTTTTTAGCAAATTTTTAAACATACACAACCCACTGTGCAGGGTTCATTCACCCATTCCGTTATCGACTGCGCCGACGACGACGTTTTCTAATTGCGTGACTATGCAAAATATTTCGCTAACTCTAATTGCATTCCAACAATGACTTACACACACACACACAGACACATGTACACGGCCGAACACTTGTATAGATAAAAGCAAATAAACCGTTGTACAATACTACCGGTATGCAGCACAAATGAATCGGAAGTAGTGCGGCACAGCAAACTGCCATGTAAATGAATGTACACATGCATGTGTATATGTGTCTGTGCGCTGCTGAGTTGTGATGTTGGCTGATAAAGCAGATGCACGAACGGACAGACAAAAATGCCATCAAAGTTGGCATACAAATTGCCGTAAAATAGTACACGAATTCCTGTTATGCCGACTGCCAAGCGATTGCTAAGTGGTTGAGGCAAGAAGTAGGGTAGCACGCTTTTAGGCGTCTTGTGAGTATTTTGCCAGCGGCGCTTATCGCGCGTTCCCGTCGAAAGGTGTGGCTGGCTTTCGAACAAAGTGTACGAGAAAATTTCTTTGAAGTAAATACTTAATTAGCGCTAAAATGCGTGACGCGTCATAACGGTTTAAGTGCTAATGTGGTAACGCCTAAAGGTATGCTATAACTAGACATACATATAATCGATTTGTATACAGTTATTCAATGGGGACGCTAAATTTTATGCAGAAAAGGCGTAAATTAATGGCACGGCTAACCTTTTGACCCAGAATTTTGAGTTAAAAGTGCCACGGATTTCGAAAGCTTCGTTTTTCTGCCTTTAATTTAGCACACTTGAATTGTGACTTATGTGGTCCGCAGCGCCTTTCGCTGTTTGTTGTCACTTGCGGCTGCACTCATACATATATTTGACTGTCGGCATTGTGCTTCGCATGTTCAAGTGCACTTTGAAGCGCCTATAATTATGCAGCAATCGTGCGCACGCACACCATTATATATGCAGAGGCATACTGCTAGGCGCATATGCCTTTTGATTACACAGCCATTGCCCATATTTTGTCATGTTTATTTTTAATTGTTTAAAGTTTCGCGGCGCACACATGGCGCTCTTAGCAAGGCGCAAAAGAGAAAATACACAAAAAAACGCAACAACAAATATTAAAGTACGAATTAATTGTCGCTGCTGACACGCAGGGAAGCGCACTCGCTCACAAAACGACACATAGGAACGCGGCACGGAGTACTTTTAGCCGTTAATGACGCACGTGCCGTGTATGTCCGGAGCGCGGGTTTGGCAGGGAGTATGTAATGTACATATATATATATATATTATTTGTATACATCTTTCCACTATATTGTGTGTATGATTCTATAAATAATCAAGCGCTGCAATTATGACTGCCACGCAAAAAACAAAAAACACTCATAATAATCGTGTTCTATTTTCGTACTCACCTCGGCTTTGCCTTTGATAATGCACATCTTGACGTCATCCTCTGTGGATTGCCACACTAAGCGCTGCTGCTCAGATAAGTCGTGTATACTCAGGTTATAGACGATGTTTCTGCAAATACAAAAGGAAAATTATACGTTAGTTACAGGCTAGGTTACTTGTTGAAGTCAAAAAATTTAAAATACGTTGGGTGGTATGTCGAATCATGGAGAAGCAGAACCTCAAAAAATGCTTCCGGTGTTTGATATATGGCCATCTGGCGAGAACCTGCAGAAGCTCAAACGATAGAATTCGGTGCGCGAAGACATGGTGGAAGAAACCGTACGATAGGTGGCATGAAATGTTTTCTCTACCAACCTCCACCTCAATCACTGCTAGCAGCTCAAGACCTGCTTGCGCATACAGTCTTTGAACAGAAAATCAACATGGCATGGCACAGCAACATGAACCTCCGAATTAACGGGTAAAGCGGCCATTTGCGCCTGTGTTCCAGGAAAAGTCCCTAACAAGACAAGCCTACAACACCCTTGATGTGGAAATATGTTAATTAATCCTAGATGACAACCCGAATTACGAGAGAGATGCAAAACAGAAGAACCGAGTTAAACAAAGTCTGCAATGCCGCTTAGTGTTGGAAAAAGCAAGGCGCATACAGTTTTAAAGGCGACGAAAGGGAAATAAGCGAAATTACCTCAAAAAAGCAATTAAGAAGAACAAGGTTTGTTGCTTTAAAGCGCTCTGCAACAAGGTTGAAGAAATCCGCTGGATGATGCATACCAAATCGTCTTAAAAAAGATTAAAGGCCACAAAGGACAAGCGTCAACATGACCCAGAATATTAGGAATGGTTGTCCACACCCTTTTTCTTACTCAACTGCTACAAATGCTAAGCATCAAGCCTAGGTAACATTCCGAATAAGGCCCTAAAATTTGCTGATAAACACAAATTCGCCGTGTTTTTACACAATGCTTTTCCATAAAATTTGGTCAAAACAGCGACTAGTGCTGATGCAAGGATCATATCTAACTACCCCTCGGATAAGTTATTTCTATATGATACAGAACAAGTTCCTAAAGAGTATATTGTGACAGGCGCTGTGTTACAAGGTTCAGTCCCAAGGCCAAGGAATGTTTTATATGACGGTGTGTAACGTCTCTCACCGTCCAAAGAAATACGGGGTACGCTGATGAAGTAGCATTAATGGTAATGGCAAGAGATATAAATCAGAAAGAGCACTACACGGCCGTAAAGTAGCTTACAAAACAAAGCTCCAGTTAGCAGGCCAAACACTAACCGGTACCGAAGCGGTACTAATAAAGAGTAGAAAAATGCTAGAGGCGGCTAAGCTTAACATTGGTGGATATAATATCTCGTTGCGTGCGATTATTGACGCTTCTATGTTATCGGACCTACATTGTTAAAGCCGGGGAAAAAACAGACAAGGTGACGGCTGCAATAACGAGAATTATGGCAAACATAGGTGAACCTAGTCGGAGTAGACGTGCTCTCCTGACAAAAGTTAGCCAGTCAGTCTTAACGTACCAAGCATCTATTATATATGGCTAACATCATTGTAGCACAAATCATATGTGAAAACGGAAAAAGTAGTAGTTTCGCGCAATCATGGTAGCTTGCCCGTTTTGGACTGTGTCAAACGAAGGCGCTGATATTATTTCAGGTATCATGCATTCATCACAATTATTGACAGAACCAGTGAGAGGAAACAACAAAAGATGGATGAACACTTATACTAAACAGAAACGAGCAAGCGTGGGTAGAGAGGAACCACGATCAAACTGACTGTTACTTGACGCAGATTCTGACTGGGCACGGCTGCTTCAGAGAGTATTTACACTAATATGTACATAGACATGACAATTTTGACTGTTCTTTTTGTGAAAACCTGATTGAAAACGTGTGGTTCATTTTCTCTCTGTACCCACGTTACAAACATGAAAGAAAGGAGCTAGAGTAACTACTTGGAGAGCTGTTAATACTTGTTACTTAGTTAGAGAATCAGGCATGACAGCAATAATAGAGCTTAGAACGAAAGAATGGAAAGAGAGACAAATGATTAACGTGGAGTTGGAATTTTTTACATCTAAGGCTTTGAGGTACTTCCCCATCCACGGTATACTCCAAATCTGCTACTCGGAGACTATTTTCTGTTTTCAGCTCTCAAAAGAATACTCATTGGAAAGAAATTTGGCAAAAACGAAGACGTAATCGCAGAAACTGCGACTTGTTTACACGCTTGAAGCACGTATTATAAAAATGGCATTGAAAATTTTGTTAACCGCAATAATCACTGTCTCACCCTCGAAGATAACTATATTGAACAATAAAAATAAAGCTAGTAACACTTTGTGCGTCCCTTTGCCCAAATATACTGGTGTCAACGTGGTTTCCAATCAGTTTTCGAAGTCATTTTCCGGAATAAATTACCTTCAATGCGTGTAGCGATTCAAGTTTAGTGTCTTCAGTTGTAGCAAAACGGTTTATTCGAAACGATCGTTTGAGTTTGCTGAATAGGCAGAAATCACACGGAGTTAAATCAGGCGAATAGGGTGGTAGCAACAATAAAAAATTGGCGAAAAACTCAAGAAGAATCAATGAAATTTAAAAAATATAAAGACTTACTATTTGTTGCCCACAGTATACCAAAGCAAAGAGTCATGAGGTTGAGTCGTAGGTGCACGGAAATTGAAAATTATAAAAAATATGGATTGGCTTTGATAGGTCTAATTTATTTCTAGTTTACGTTGTTTACGTGATATCTTCCATAAATTCACTTCTGATATTTATTACTTAGTAATGCCTCAATATTACCGCAATTAACCACTTTTTGCTAGGGAATATTAAAAAAGAAAATGTTTTCTGCAACTTTCATAAGTTTCCAATTATGCGCATACACCGAACACATTCACCAACAGCCACTCCATCTTACTGATTTAGAAGTTATCGCCGAATAAGCTGAAGTGCAAATAACTTTTCTGAAGTATGCAAATTGAACGGCTCAAATGCTCATATCTATACGGATGCATTAAAACTTTCGCAGCAAGCGTCATATTCAGCGCAATAGCGTTGGCGCTCGAAGTGAACGAAAACGAAATAAAAACGAAACAAAAAACTGCGTAAAACAACAGCAACAACAACAGTTTGTGTGAAATGAAAACCACACAAACACATACAAGCATACAACTATACTTTATAGACGCGCACTCAATTGAGGCAGCAGTCGATCGAGCGCGAGTATTTCGCAAAGCAACGTAGAGGCGCGGTAGGAGGAGCAGAGGAAATGGCGAAAGCAAAAATCCGCCATGTCGAAAAACCAATGAACTGAGCTTATCAAAACTTCCGTCATCAGCGTTACACTGCTATAAGCGCGCTAGCACTGCCGCTATTTCGAAAAAAAGAAAACAATAAAAAACAAGAAGAAGAAAAAGTAAAACTCGAAAATACGCCAAAATATGTGAGGAAAAGGAAAAAAATATTTCAATAACGCAAAGGGATTTACACACACATAGTCTCACATATGCACATATGCGCCAAATTCATGCAATGAGTTGTGCTTGTATACATTCTTGTGCGATTGAGTGCCGCTGCATGCTTTTAGGCGCATAATGAACGTACGTATGCGACGAGGAAATCAGCGAATGAATGCGAATGCGCTTGCGAGTGGAAAATTTGTTGGCGCACATACGCGAAAAATATGCAGCAGATAACGGATAAGTTGGTGCAACATTTCAACAACAACAACAACCATAATAATCAAAAAAGTGGTAAAAGCAACAACAAAAATAGTGAAGATGACAAGCAACATTACAAAAGAAAAAAATACAATATATTACAGCAACAACATATATTACTACAACAACAACAATAACAATAAAGATAAGCCTTAAAGTAACAACAAAAAATACAATAACAGCAATACATGGTGCAACAACAAAAACATTACAACAACAATATTAATAACGACAAGAAATTTTAAGCTTAAATAACAGGAATAACAGCAAACATTACAACAACAATAACAAAAAAATTGCAATAACAACAACAACCAAATTTATAACAAAATTTATTACAGCAACAGCACAAAATGCAACAACAACAACGACTGCAACTGTAACAGCGCGACTACACGCTACAAAGCAACACTGCAACAAAAAGGGTGTGGCAGCATGGCAGGTGCTTGACTGAGAACGCAACGAACGCCAAATTTTTGCGCACGCTGCCATTGATGAATGTATTTGCGCCGCATTGAGTTTGTTTATGCCGCAACGACAGCTGCCTGCAGCCGGATGCCACAGCTCAACAAATTTTGGCAGCATATAGATCAACTTCCGGTATTTGCACAATCGCACACACACATACAAAAATAACTATCGCTTTATACATATATGCACATATGTATGTGTGTGAGTGTGCATGTGTGCGAGTGCTTTCGATATTGTGCCGTTATCTTTGCATACAAATTTATGCAAAAGTAAGCTTATGCGCAAAAGTTTTGAGTACAACTACTACAAATATAACTGTACACGGCACGAGCAAGCATAAGTAAGCAGAAGTGCGCATAAGTATTTACTCAATGAATTATTTATGGCGATACTTTGTTGCTTATGAAGAGATAATGCTTGTTTACTTACTTTTTCGAAACTATGTATGGCTTGTGTTTAAGAAATATGTGGGGGAAAAATAGAACAGAAACAAAACTATTGCTACAAAGTGTTTGCTAATGCGTAAAAATACTAATGGCATGGCAGAAAACTAAAATAAAATATATGCTTTACGAATGGCGAGTCGGATGTTTAGATGTGTACTGAAGCCATAAGTATGGCCGATCTGAGACTTTCACATAAGCAATATTCAAACACGAAAAAACGTTAACTTCGGCTGCACCGAAGCTAAAATACCATTCACAGGTTTGTCTTTAGTTTCGTAAACGGGTGTGAAAAGATATTAGTTGTGATTTCGATCGATCATTTTACTGAGAAATCACATTGTATACTTTAGGGTCCGATGTGAACCAAATTTTCAGACATTATAGGAATACTTGAGAAAATAATTTATGCCGCATTTCGCCGACGATCGATGATTTTTGATCTTAC